AATTTAAGATTCTTACGAATCTTTGGAATTTTCCCATTCTTCAGAACACAGAAGCCCACCTGAACAGCTGAACCTAAAAAAAAGTAAAAAAAGAACGGTTAGTAACTGTTCATATTAAATTAAAAAAAAAATAAATAAACCAAATTTTGTACTTACGAAACTTGGTTTTTCCATACTTCAGAAGCCCACCTGAACGGCCGAATCTAAAAAAAAGTAATAAAAGAACAGTTAGTAACCGTTCATATTAAATTAAAAAAAAAATAAAATAATAAACCAAGTTTTGTACTTACAAAACTTGGTTTTTCCATACTTCGGAAGTCCACCTGAACGGCCAAATCTAAAAAAAAAGTAATAAAAGAACAGTTAGTAACTATTTATATACTAAATTAAAAAAAATAAATAAATAAACCAAGTTTTGTACTTACAAAACTTGGTTTTTCCATACTTCAGAAGCTCACCCGAACGGCCAAATCTAAAAAAAAAGTAATAAAAGAACGGTTAGTAACCGTTCATACTAAATTAAAAAAATAAATAAATAAACCATGTTTCATATTTACAAAATTTGGTTTTTCCATACTTCGGAAGCCCACCTGAGCCTTTTAAATGGGCGTCTTGAATCTAAAAAAGAAAAAAATGAAAATGTTAGTGAAACGTTTCGTTAAAAAAGTAAAAATTCGAAGGTATATGTATACCTTCGAAAGAGATAAGTGACGAAAGGAAAGGGGAAAGGGTAAGGAAGAAAAAAGTGAAGGAAGGGAAAGGAGAACGAAGGGAGGAAAAGGGAAAGAAGAGAAACTAGGATAAAGGAAAAGGGGAACAAAGGGCGGGGAGGGAAGGAAGAAAATTAAAAAAGTTTAAAAAAGGATCATCCTTTTTTAAATTTTTATTTTAATACACGTATCGCGTAATGCGTAACGTTTGATTAACATAATTCAACTAGGTTGAATATATGTTTAATCGTAGATCTTTACTAATTGAAGTCGAATTTTATTAATTCTAGTCGAATATAGGCCAAATTGTATTAAGGCTGAATATTTTTTTTTCGACTAGTGTAATCCAAAATTTTATGTTTTTATTATTGCTACTTATTAAAGTTATCTAACTTTAATCCATAATATTAATTAAAATTCTTATTAAATTTTAATAAAATAACCTGATAGAAATATTCAGTACATGTTGTTCTATCATTTTATCGGTTTAGTTTTTTCTTTTTACTATTCAATTTACAATTTATAAAAATTTGAAGTCACATAATAGTATTAGTGTGGTTTATAGGTGACAGCCACCATAATAATTACATTAAAACAATAATTTTAAAGTTTTGTATACGATTATGATAAAAATTTTTTTGTACCGATACTGATTCAATATTTTATATTAATATCAGTATATAAAATTTTTATACTATACCAATATTTCGATCTATTGATAATTTTTTCTAAAACCAGTAGCATTGATACATCAGGGTTTGACTGTACTATTTAATAAACTAGCTTATACAGAAGCCATTCTTATATATATATATATAAAAGTTTGTTAGATTTAAAAAGTCACATGATTTTTCATTGAACTTATTTTTGCTAAACTTATTCTAATTATTGGATTAACCCTTATAAAATTAATTCCTAATATATTAATTTTCGTTAAACTTATTTATAGGGTAATAAGAACAATTAGATTTATTTTCGTTAGACTTAAGAAATCATTAGACTTATTTATGGGGTAATAAGAATAGTTAAACTTATTTACGTTAGACTTAAGTAGTTAATATACTAATTAATAAACTAACTTATATAGAATCAATTCCTAATATATTAAATTTCGTTAGACTAAATAAATATAACCAAAAAAATAATATAAAAATTAAGATTCTAGAGCTATTAAAAGCTTTTCTAATATATAATAAAAATTGATATGCTTTCTAAGGTTGGAAAACCTACATAAAGTTTGGAAATATAATATTGAAATTAAGATTTTAGAGCTATTAAAATATACATGCTGCCCAAATTATTTTGGAATGTCATAATTATAATTTGGGATGCCAGTTTATATATAATTTACTATATAAAGTGCCAAAATAATTTGGGATGCCATAATTGAATTTAGGATTTTACTTATAATTACGGCAGCCCAAAATAATTTGGGTGGCATGTATATATTAAAAGCTTTTTAAAATAATAAGAAAAATTGATATTGATTTTAATGTTCTGTAGCAAAACCCCGCTTACTTATAATAAAGGTCACCGTAGAAAATTAGCCCTTTACTAATAGTTTTACCTTACTTTTTTCTTAAATTCTATTGATTAATTAGCTAAAAAGGAAAAAAATCATAACAATGTAACATAAAATTTCTTTTTATAATAGGATCTGCAAAGAATTTTATATATGATTTTTATCTTAGGTCTGGAGGTGACCTATTTTATAAGTAAGCAGATCCTTCTGTAGCTTATATACACAATGTTTCAGTGAGGAACAGACTTTTGGTCCTTAAACTCTTACTTTCATTATGTACATCATTTTTTTTAATAAAACTTACCGATATTATAATGAAATTGAAATATTATTGATTAGACATTTTTTTGAATAGATGTTATCATGATATATTGACGATAATTGTGGTGATGCAATGAATGATATTAAATCAATATTGCTGATATTATAATAATATTGAAACTTTGTTAGTTAGATATTTCTTTAAATAAATATCATTATATATAATATCTTCATAAAAATTATGGTGATAATAAAATGACGATATTAAATTGATGTCATAACAATATTGTTATGTAAATCAATATCATTACAACATGAAATTTATATAATTTCCAATATCGCTCTAATTTATAAGATTTCTGTAAAGTTAATTCTTATATATGTTTTATTATTTTATTTATATAAGTTTAATATATGTAAATAAGTGTAATTATAATATAACAAAATTGCATAAAAATAATAATAAAAAAAAAATTATCATATTATCAAAATTATATATATATTAAATTTATATAATAGTTAAATTATTTAAATTTAATAAAGTTTTACAATTTGCTATATGTTTTGCAATTTTACATTTTAAATATTTGGTAAAATTATTTAAATAATTTTAATTTAAACAATTATTTAAACTTGTAAATTTCACCTGCAATTTTAATATTAGATATTTAGAATTCTTATATATAAATATTTAAATAGATAATAGAAATTATAGATGTTATCTCTTAAACTATTTTGCAGCCAAATTTGCCTGCAATTTTATTTTTTAATTAAAGACACTTTTAAATATCTTAAAATATTTTATTACATAAACCAATATTTTTGTAATAAATTCTATAGTATTTTCTAAATAAAAATTGAAAAAAAGTTTAATTTAATTTATAATGATTTTTTAAAAGTAAATGATTGGCAAATTATAACAAATATATAGTAGCTAAATTTTTTAAATTGAAATATCTTTTTATCCATTAATCCTAGAAATATAAAATTACCACCATTTGATACGTCTTAATGAGAAGAATCAAATTGTCCTTCTATAAATATTATGTGACAGGATAACTTAGAAAATTTATAAATTATAATAACTTTTTATTTATCAATTTTAGAGTTATGATTTTATTACCATTAAATGTGCCTTAATAAACGGAATCTAACAAATATAATTTCATCTTTATATAATCACTAGATCTTAAAATATTTTAAAAATTCAAAAATTTTTAAAATTAATTTTAACTCCTACAGTTTAAGGGATAATATTTTAATGCTTATATTTGCAGGCTAAATAAATGTTTAGCTTTAATTATATTTTTATAATTATACAAAATTTAATTAATATATGGAGTTGTATATGCATTAAAAAAAAAAATAAATATAAATTTTGAAGAATTACCAAGGCCAATAAAAAATAAATCATTGCTTTTAATAAAACCTGCTAAACAATTTAAATCAATTTATATCTGTAATAAAACCAGTTTTATATAGTTTCAGAAAGTTTACCTACAGGTAAGTTTTGGTTTATTTGTTATATTATTTGAAAATATAATATATATTTCAAATAAGATTTTTTTTAAAAAAAATTATTATTTGTTATAACTAATAATATCTGAAAAATACATTATATCATTTATATGTAATCTAAAATATCTAAAGGATTCTTTACTGGTATTCTAGTATTCTTAAAAGTATTAAATAATTGTATTTACAATCTATAAGTAAAAAAATTATTTTCTTCCGAAATGGCGAAATTAAGCATTCCTTTTTAATGCTGGTCAAATCAGTCATAATTCCGGTTAAGAATGATTATTTTAGGGTATATGGGGTAGATCACAATTTTTGAACTCTTTATTGATTTTTATTTTTCCTACTAAATTCTTTTCCTTTTCCTACTGTAAAATTTATTTTTTTTAAAAAAAAATAAATTTGCTAATTTATTCTTTGCTCCTTTCGGTTAGAATGCGATACATTTAAAGTCCGGAAATAATAGCAAATAGGGATCAAAATACGCTTTTATTAAATTTTACATCAGCTTTTCTTTGTTATATGGCTTATTTGAGCAAAAAGTCACCACTCGGTCCCCAAAAAGGAACAAAATGACTTCATTGTTCGTTGATGAGTCTTATTGCGTTGTGTATCATATTACAACTCCATCATTGGTTCACAATAGGTCAAATATTTCCAAATGGAGTTAATGAAGTAACACGAAAATGACAAAATGATCGTAATTTGCAGTTGGGGATATCAATTTAATGTCCCCCAGTTTCCGTTTTTTACGCCTAATCAAATTTATTTTATGGTCACCGACTTATTCGCTATACTCACTTTTATAAACCATAATTCAATTCTCATATTTTCACTGAAATTAACCACCTCGGAGGCTCGTAGGTTTTTGTGTTTCAAGAATCATATAAATCAACTATAAAAATTCTCACACTCAAATTTTTCTCCTTTTTCTATATTAGTCGTGAGTTATACCATATAAGACTTACGCTAAAAGAACTAAAATATTTTTTCTTTTTTGCTTCTTATACAGGTATGGTTATTTAATATGCGAAATAATTAGTAGAATCTTGTATAAAAACTCTGAGCTTGTTACCTCACTGTCTTACAATTTTTTTCTTTCGTTTTGTTTGCAAATCTGGAAGTTTGTACACAATATATTTGACAAACTTTAAAAAAGAGAACTGGAAAATCTAAAAAATAAGTTATTTTCACAATATGATGCCCGCTCCAATGATGCATATTGCAGCTCAACAACAAGTACCTAATCAATCACAACAACAACCTCCACAAGCTCAGCAGCAGCAACCTTCACAGGCTCAACAGGCCTCACAGACTCATTCACAGCAAAATCAACAATTTCTTTCTGCACATTCAGACCAAAATCAAAGAAATGGTTTGAAACAACGAGAACAGTCATTATTTAATTCTTATGTATACGATTTCCTAAAACGTAGTGGAGCAACAGAAACAGCACGAACTTATCTACGAGAGGGGGATATAAAGCTCAAAAATGATGGTGCAAATTCAATAAACGGCAACGGTACAACTTCAGATAACGATGCACAATTGCCTGACGCCGAAGTTCCAGTGCAAGCCCCTGAAGGATTTTTATATGAGTGGTGGACAGTATTTTGGGATATATACAGCGCTAAATTAAATCGACCAGGAACCATGGAAGCACAACGATACGTAGCAGCAGAGGTAATAAATTCACAATAATAGACTATTTAATCTATTACTGCCTATATTGCTGCGCAATATATTAACTTTTTTTCATTGCAATAAATAATTTTTGGTACAGATGAGAAGAGGAGGGGGTAATCGTATGCTAACTCAAATACCGACAATGTATCAACAACATCCACAGGTTGTAGCTCAGGCTGCTGTGCAACAGCAACAATTACAGCAGCGGCTAATGCAACAACAGCATCCTCAACATCAACAGCAACAAGCTCAACAAGCTTCGCAACAAGCTTCCCAACAACAACAACAGCAGCAGCAGCAGCAACAGCAACAACAGCAGCAGCAGCAACAACAACAGCAACAACAACAACCACAACAACCACCACAACAACCACAACAGACTCCACAACCCCAGCCACAACAATCTCCAGCTAATCATCAACAGGTTATTCATCAACAACCTCATCAACAGGCGCAATTTAATCGTGTAGTAATTGACGGTAGCCAAAATGGCGATATGTCAAGTCCTCAAAGAACAAACATGAAAGTACCACAAACAGTGGCGACAGCAGGATTACAGCGACGCATGTAATTGTAGATTTTAGTTAATATTGTTTATAATGAGGTTATTGCGCAAGTTACGCGAGAAATTCTAATCTTTGATATAAATTACTAGAAATATGCCACAAACTATGCAGCGCATGAATTTCCAGCAAAATCATACACTTCAAGCTTTAGCAGCTCAAGCCCAGACACAAAATCCTCAGCAAATTCAAAATCAAGTGCAACAACAACAGAATCCTGGAATTAATCAAGGACAGGTTCAACAACAAGCTTCTCAGATTCATATGACTCCAAATCAAGGGCAAGCACAAGTAAATAGAATTTTTATGATGCTAATTAAATAATTATATTATAATAAAAGAATTATTATTTAATAATAGTTAAATCCTGGAACGAAGCGTGGTGTTGAAGGTCAAGCTATTAATCAAAATATAAATCAGCAGTCCACATCGCCAGCTAAGCGACAGAGACTAGAAAATTCCCCATATGGTAAGTATTAATGATCTAATCAATAATCATATGATATAGTCATATAGTAAATCTTTTTAAATTCATTCATATACCGTAAAGTTCCCCAAAGACAGCAACTACCCAATCAACAAGGACAAATTACGATTAACCAAAATATGCCAAATAATATGATTCTAACTACGGTTTGTAAATGTATTATGCCTCTTGTTTATATGACGTTCTATGATTATTACAACTAATTGTTATAAAAAATATCTTAATTATTGACAGCCATTTGAAACGTCAGCTTCTCCTGATTTGTCTGCCAAGCGTCAAGCTCAGCTCACCAATGGGAAACCAAAAGGCAATAACCAACAATTGCAACTTGGTCGAAGTTCGCAACAACAGCAGCAACAGCAGGTGGCGTCAATGAATAAAACTATTTCACACGTTAATCACCAAATGAACCCTATGGGCCAAAATCAAATTCGCAGCGAATCTGAACTTGCGAATCAGATAACTTCTGCAATTAATTCTGCTAATGTAGCTAATGAAACCCTTAATAATAACTTTCTCAATATGCAAGGCTTAAATAATCAAGTTATGCAACAAGCACAACAACGTAGTTACATGATTCCACCAAACGTGATACATAGAAATAAATTAAATCAAAACATGCTCCTCGAGCAGAAACAAGTTAGTAGATTTTAACATGTAGAATTTTTTTATTCTTATATTACATAAATAATCAAATAATCAAATTGGTAAAAATTTTTTAGCGTGAACAGCTTGGTATTCGCCAACCTGGATTTCTATATTTACAACAGCAGCAATTTCAACATCCAGTCGTACCACAGCAAATTGGGGGGGTGCCCGTAGCAGTTCAACACCAGCAACGTGTAAAAAATGATCCAAAAGTAACTAAGGTGAAATTTTTTTGCTTTGTTTTTGGAATAAAATTCACCACTAAAATTTTTTCAGAACTCTACTAAAACACCACCAACACAGAGTCAGCCACAAGCTCCAAGTGTTAACCAATCAAATGCAATTGCTACTCCGCAACAACAACCGATAGTTACAAGCGGGGTGCAGACCCAATCACAGCAGTCCGCCCAGACAACGGCGACAACAGACATAACGGACAAGTTACAAGATACACAATCATCATCTCTAAATATGAGCGTGGAAGAAGTGAGTTTATATTTATTAATATCTTGCTATCTTTAATAAATTATATATATTATATATTGATATATATTATTTTTGATCGTTTTATTGCTATAAAAGGCGATAAATTTCTCGGTGAATTATGACTTGACACCAAGTTTTGGCATTGGCGATATAAACGATATCGTTAACTTTGATGATTTCGTTAATTTTGATGAGCTTGGGTCTAGCAGTAACGCTGAGCCAAGCGCCTCATCGGATAACGCTAACTAAAATTTGCCTTTGGTCGAAAAAAAAAACAATTCGATTTTCCTTCCCTCACTCTTGTAGTATATAGTTTTCTCCGGTGTGTCTATTTTTGGCGGGAAAAAATCAATGACGAACTATAATGTAACTAGATTATATTTAGTTAAAAAAAGACAGAAAATATATAATATTTTTACAGTATTTACATAAGAATGTATGCTTCATTATATTATTATATTTCAATTATTTCAGACACGTATGTGTATATTATTTTATGGGTATCCACCTTTTCTCCCATTTAGTAAAAGTAGTATATTATATATTAGTAATGATAAAACGTATCAAATTCTTTTAATGGGTTTTTTTCTTTTTAATACTTATTCTGTATTACACCTTTAAAACTTTTCCTATTAAATTATAAATTAAGCTCAGAATTTTTTCCCCAGGTAGAAAATAAAAAGATATATTTTTAAGAATTAATATAAATTTCACCTTAGATAATTTTAATTTTTAATCATTTCTAAAAATAAATATAAGTATACAAACCAACTTTTATTATATTATTAGGTGCTGCCCCCTATTACGTGGAATTTTTGACAGCTGATTTTTTGATATTTTTTGTAAAAAGATCAAAATAAGAATAACCAAATAAATGAATAAAATTAGAATTGTCAAAACCAAAGCTTAAGAATAAAGAAAATGAAATGTAAAAACCCCAGGTATAAACTAATTATTGGTTTTTGCGGAACTTAAAAAAAAGTTATAAAATATATATTATATAATTTGCTATATTTATAATTTTAACTCAAATTATATAAATAAAAAATCAAATTAAAGTGATTTTACAGATAGAATAGGAAACTCTTTTCGCTACCAATTATGTGAGTCATGTCCAATATTTTTTAAAATAAAAAAATTCTATTTTTATTTTTCATTATTATAAATTTATTTTATCATTTTAAACAATTACAAGCTTTGCTTTGACAGAAAGAATAGAGTAATGAGTTTATTTTTATTTTTATTTTTTTACCTTGATATGCCAAACCGTAGTAAACCGCAGATTGATCCGTTAAAAACCCATCAGGATCGAAGCACTATCACACATAGTTATCCAGGATAAATGCTTATTTACTGGTTCTTTGGAAATAGGACAAAGACTCTTTTCGTATCACCTCACTACCGCAGTACCGTGTGATGGCGTGATCTTTATGTCACACTACTCTTATGACTTATGGTATGGTCAGTTGCCTGCCCTACCAATTACTAATTACTAAACAAATAAAAAAACACTTCACTATAAGAGGAATTTATTATAAAGAAAAAAATAAAACTTCACTAACTATAACAACTTTACTATAAACGAGCTTTTCCGTGTCTTTATCGAAAAATAAACAACTGAAACAAAATGCAACAATTGTCGAAATCAATTAAGTTTGAATCAGTATTTGTTTTGATTCTTGTAGGGATATTTGTTTATCATCGTTTACAAGATCGGAAGGTTGATAAGGACGAAACGCGTGAAAATCAGCTAAATGATTCTGGTAAAAATTTGAAAATTTTCCTTTGTATAATAGTAAATACATTTTGATGAAGCTCGTCTTAACATATATTCTTTCCTTATCAAAACCAAAACAGGCGAAAACGAAGATCCTAACGAATATTTGCCTCCTGCATCACAATATGATCCTCGTATAAATTATGATGAACTTGCGTAGAAGGCATATTACAAAATGCATAAGGGGGAACCGTTTGCTGAGAAAGCAAAAAAAATAATTGAGTCGCAGAATTAGCTTAGTTTTATTTTAATTATAGTCTAATTGAATCTTTTTACACGAGGGTGTAAAAAATTAATTATTAAATCATATAAATTGTATTGTAGCTCATTTATTGCGGTTTTCATAAATCTGTGTAATCGAAGTCACATGATGATCACTACAAAATTACGCGATTTTTTTTTTTCTCCAAGTAACGTCTTAAATTTTACTAAACTAAGTCGCGATTTTGTTTGCCCATAAGAATATTCTGCTTTTATAGAAGCTTTAACGTGAGTTTGGTTGCGTATACAAGCTTATTTTCCGCAAAACTTATAAAAGTTTGACGATTCTTAACGATCCTTTGCGATTCTTGGTGATCTTATCATTATAAGACAAGAAATCTTTGTTTTTTTTTAGAATTATGTTTCATTAATTATTTGTAAGAAATAATAAATATTATTTAGTTTAAATATGGGAAAATCTTTAAGTAATGATATAAAATGGCATGTTATTTATCATCAACTTGATGGATTTTCAGCAAAAGAAACTGCTCTTAGGCTTTATATTGTATTTCTACCGTACATAAAATTAGAAAACTTTATGATCGTTAGGGTTGTGTAAATCATCCATTCAAAGGTTATCAAGGAAGAAGAAGAATTTTTAATCCTGATGATTTTAATGTATTTAATTTATTCCATTTAATTATTTTAAAAATTGTCATTCACTAAAATTTAATATTACAGATATTATCTACTCTTGTAAAAGATAAAAAAGATTGGTACCTTGATGAGTTGGCTTCTAAAATGGAAAGATTAACTGGCAAGCTTGTATCTATACCAACTTTATGGAGAGCGCTCAATCATCTTGGAATAACGAGAAAAAAGGTAGATTTATAATTATTAATCATTTAGTTACTGAAAAATTATAACTAAATTTTTTTATTTTGGTTACAAAAAGCTGCCAAAGAGAGAAGTGAACTTTTGCGAAGTGTTTTTATGTATAAAATAGGAAGTGAATAAAGATGAGAGAAGTTTATCTAGGGCTTATGGATATTGTTTAAAAAATATGAGAGTTGAAAAACATGTGGTTTTTGTAAGAGGGAAAAGATATACTATCCTACCAGTATTAACATTAGATGGATTTATAGCTGCTGATATTATGAAAGGAAGTTGCAATAAAAAACGATTTCAAACATTTATTCTTACGCAAGTTGTATGTTTTTTTTCATTTATTTAATTCTTTTTTCCTTTTCATTTGTTTATTAAACATATGATTGTATTTATTTTTTTTAGTTACCGCAGATGAATGAATATCCGAATAAAAATAGTGTTATTGTCATGGATAACGCAAAAATTCACCATGATGAAAAATTAGTAGAATCAATTGAACAAATGGGATGTAAAGTACTTTATTTGCCTCCATATTCTCCAGATTATAATCCGATTGAAATGGCATTTTCTGGAGTTAAATCATAGTTAAAAAAAAATAGAACATTTGTAAAAAATTGTAATGATCCAAAATATCCACTTTTATTAGCATTATCTCAGGTAACACCTGATATGGCAAAAGGTTATTTTAACAAATCAATTTATTTGTATTAAACTTAGATTTTTTTTTTACATTATAGAGTTTATTTTATAGTTTATTTTAAAATTTTAAATAAAACGCAAAAAACTTTGTGATACAAAACTATCATTTATTATTAGCAATTACATAACTCAAATAAAGCGGTGTAACATAATAGAAATATTGTAAATCAATAACAAAAAAAAATTATTTTTTATACAAAAAAATCAGAGAAAATTTTTTGCTTCTTTAATTAAGTTTAATCTACGACCAATTATTTCTATTCCAAATTCATTTAATAAAACTTCAGGATTCATTTCTGCAAGTTGTGATACTGTAATTTCCTCCTCTTCAAATTTTTGTAAATAAATTGTATATCTTGCTTCTCCAAACTTTTTGTCAAGAAGTTCTAAAAAATCTTTTATAGATGGTTCTGTAATTTCATAAGATAATGAAGGTGTAGATTGTGAAGTTTGTAATGCTACATCTAAAGTTGAAGCAAATTGTGTATGTGATGATGGTGGTAAATATGACAATGCTTGTGATGATAGATACGAAGATAAATGTGATGGTGGATATGGTGGTGGATAAGGTGGCCATCCCGAATAATAAGAATGAGAATTTGGTGGAGACACATATTGTTGTTGGTAATAATTTGCATTATTATCAGATATGATGATGATCTTGTTGAAACTTTTAATGAGTTCGCCATTCCAAAATTAGGATGCGGTGGTGGAGTTTCGTAGTTACAATGATTTTTATACTACAAATAAATAACATGTTAAGTTATATTAATGAAATAAAAAAATTAAAATTTATATATATTATACATACAATTTCATCTGTCCACATGGACAAATGTAATGTTGTAAGTAGTAAATGTCTGTCATCTTTGATATAACAATATCCTGTTTTATGGATATTGCATTCATGCATTTCCTTAAGTTTTTTATGGATTTCTCCCTTTTTGAAATCAATATCATTTAAATTATCTTCTTTAGGAACACGACTTTTTTTTTATTTTTTTGCTTGGCAGTTAGTTCCAATTCATCATCTTCGCTCACAGATTCATTACCATCTGATATCTCTAAACTCTTCTAATAAAAACACAAATAATTAATTATAATAAATTAATAGTATCCTTTAAAAAAAAACTACAATACCTTTTTTCTTTTTGCCTTTTCTTTTTGTTTAACAGTTGCTGTAATCAATAAAGCCTTATCAGAAATAGTCAATTTATGGTACTCCCTTATAAATTCTTCAAAGTCCTCTTCTTCTTCCAAAATTGTACCAGCTCCTGTTCCTTTTTCTGCTTTATAAGACAATTCATATTTAGTACGAACCACTAAACCAACTGTTTCGCAAACTTTTTGCAATACTAAATCATCAAATTCAAAATAAGCTGGTATTTTTTCTAAGGTAATTGCTTTTGCTGGTTTAGTCAAATCAGGTGTTTTAATTATTAGTTTGAAACGGAAAGGAATATCAGAATTAGAATTAAGTACATTATTTAGTTTAGAAGGATTGAGTGGCTTTGTAGGCGTCTTTACAGTTTGGTTTTCTTTCTCATCAATTGAAATTAGATTATTTTTATTATAAGTATTTTGATCTCTTACAAGTTGGCTATTACACTTCGCACATAAAGTAAAATTAAATTTTTTTGATAAATCATATTGATATTTATGTATATCATTATTAGACTGTAATAAAGCAACCAATATAGGATGACTTTCATTATGTTTATAAACTCCATTTCTGACATGACCAACTTGGAACTTTTTAGTTTTACTGCTATTCGTAGGTTTAAGAGTCTTTTCACAATTGCACACACTTCCTTCAGCCAAATTAACACCACAATAAAGGCATTTTCGACACACAAAACAAGTTCCTATCTCGTATTTCCATTCTTTAGTAGTAATATTAAAGTTTTTTTCGCTCATCTTCAAAGTTTTACACGTTCGTGAAAGTCGCGAACTCGATTTATAATTTATATAATAATTTGCATGTGACAAGACCAAGTAAATGATTGGATAAATTTTAATATTACACATGATTTCAAGTTTCGAGTTTTGCACGTGTTTAGTGTTACTCCAAAATTACCAAAATACAACTTTTCTGAAAACTGCAATAATTGCAATATTACAATTATTTGTTCCTTGAATTAATCAGTTATATAAAAGATTTGCACATTTTCTAACTGCTGAAATTAATAATAATTTTTCTTCTTCTTCAAGTTTGATATATGCATTGGTACCTGTCGTCTTATTTATACATTCAAGAGCTGCTTCATATTTTTCCTGATCCCTGCCTGAATCCCACTTTGTTTTGTGTACAATAGAATTCCGAATATTCTTATATGCTGTAAACGGACAAATATTAAGCGAGAGCAAATAATATACCAAATGGACAAATGTGAACGTCAAGTACTAAGTACGAACGAATTAATCTTTAATCAGCGTGAATGGATAAATGATTAGCCGAAAAGGATAAACATTTAGGAAGAGTAATGATCTACATGATGTAATATTTATCAAATGATTAACAAGGAACCAATAGATTGAGTAGGGAGTCGATCAATTGCGGCTTAACAACCAGTTTATTGAGTTCAACAATAAGAACAATCAGAAAGAATAATTATAAGCCACAAAAGGTAAATCATATAAAATGAAGGGATAGCGTATTAAAGGAACACACATAATGAAAATACATAAAAACAATAATATAAAAGATAATATGAAAAGATAATATAAAAGATAATATAAAAGATGATACGAAAAGATATAAGCCACAAAAGATGGAATATAATATATTAAAAATAGAAATATGTTGAAAGATAGTGTATTAAAAAGATGGAACGTGAAAGATAATATATAAACATATTGAAAGATAACATATTAAAGATAGTATATAGATAGCATATATTAGAATAGAAAGTATCATAAAATTTGTATAAATAGAGAGCAGAATTCAAAGTAATTCCACAGTTCTCATCCACAGAACTCAATAAAAATATAAATTTCATTTAATTATTTGTTAGTAAAGTTTAATATTAATTAAAGGTAATAGGTTCGCCCTAAACTTTAATTAATGTTCGCTTAATTAATTTTAATTGAATAAAATGGAAATTTTAAGATGAATTAAATATACACTTTTGAAAAGTAATAATTCGTAACGAGAGCTATCGAAGTTTGAAATTAAAGGTAAAGTGGATAAAAATTGATGGAAATTTAGAGAAGTTAAATTTTATTTTATATCGCTTAATGTTTTATATTACTAACGCTATTTATATCGTGAATCAAGAATGTTGCTGTTATATGTTGTTGTATGTTGTTCATTGATTATGTTGTTTGTTAATTATGCTGTTGATTATTTGCTTGTTCGTTTATTTGTTTGTTTGTTTGTTCATTCGTTCGTTTGACCATGAGAATGCCCGTTCAATGTGGCAACTCTGTAAATTGATGACAGAGGGAATTGGGGGAATCTCATATGGTGCATGCTCCGAGAAAGAAAATGATCATCATCACATGATTATTATTATAATCAGTGTCTGAAATTCAAATTTTAAATCATGTGCGGAATGCGCACATTATTTGAAATTTTTATGTACGCAATTTTTAAATGATGTGTGAAAAGCGTTTTTTTTATGCATAATTCATTTTTTCAACGGACAATACTTAAAATTTAAAATTTTTTATAAAAAAAAAAAATACTTGAAATTGTAAAAACCTTTATTATAAGTTTATAAAAACACCAATAAACACTATTATTCTTACATTATAATATAAAAATTCAAATATTATTAGTGTTTACTCGTCGTACATGTTCATTTTTCCATTGATTAAATGCCTTATCCCAATTAAATTCTTCAATATTATCGGGTGCATTTAAAAGTATCGTTAAATGCATATCTAATGTCTCAACATTTGTAATCTAGTTTTCGTCAACTTATGTTGAAAAAACACTCTTTCTACATTCGCATTCGAAAGTGGCACTAATAGAACAATATTAACCAAAATATTAACATTAGGAAATTGATTTTTAAATTGAGGACGAGTACTCCAAATATGATGCCACCCCTCGATTATATCATAATTTCTAATCGATTTCATGATATGTTTAACCATCTGCCATTCCTTTTTACACTCTGAACTATTAATTAACGGCTGAACTGGTATACCATTTGATTTATGTTTTTGATTTCCAAAGTTTTCGTATATTAATTTAAGTTCTTCTATTCCATATGAAGATAATGCGCTTTCTTGTAATGGTAATTCTTTTGGATCTAAAATTTTCATAGAATCATATAAATCATTACATGGAAAACGAGCTTGTAAGCTATGAACTAGGGCCTTTGCAAAATGAACAAAATCATCTGGTATATGATTATTATAAAATGGTTTATTTTGTAAAAATTGCTGTAAATTTGTTCCATATATAGGCGGTTGATCATCAAAACTGATGAATTGAGTTTTTATCGTTGCTATAGTAGCATCCAATGAAGATTTAACCTCTGACAAAGAAATAATATCTCGTTGAAATGTTTTACATAAAATAGTAAGAAGGTATGTTAAATCCGCCATATACATAGTTGAGATTTTAAATTTAGAATCTACCAATTCTAATAATTTTTTAGCTCGATCCCTATCTCTTTGATCACCAGCATGAAGACTGTCAAAATTTAAAGCATCAATTATTGAATCTAAAATTTGATATAAATTTTTGACTACATTAGATAAAGATAACCAACGTGTATTGATAATATTTAATATTGCTAACTGTAGATCATCATTTGATTCTTGGATCATTTTTAAGTTTAACATTCTCTTATAAGATCCGCTAAAATATGAATATAATTCCTTGCATGTGGCTTCATATTTTTTAAAATACTGAACTTCATTCGCTGCATCCTTTCCAACCAGATGAAGCCTATGAGATATGCAATGCACTGAGGTGAGAAACGGATTTAATTCCTTTAATTTTGCTGCTACACCATTTTTACGTCCTATTTTATAAATAATTTATAATTGATCAATAAATATTATATTTAATTAAATTTTTTTTTTTTACGATAGGTTTAATATTAAAAAATTTGCTAATAACTTACCAACCATTGTAGATGCACCATCACTGCCAAAATGGATTAAATTATCCAAATTAAGTCCATTATTTTGAATAAACTCCAAAATTTGAGTTAGAATATTATCTGTGGTGCAATCTTCAAGTTCAATTAGCCCGATATATCTCAATACAGGAACATTATGTGAAAAATGTTTATAAACCATAGCTAAATGCTTTTTATCATAAATAGAAGTAGTTTCATCAATCATAATACTCCAAAACGGAGAATCATTGATTTCTTGATATAATTCTTGTTTGATTATACTTGTTATTGACTTTTCCATTTCTTTTCCTGAATTATGATTTTGATATGTACCATAACTTGAACAAGTTGAGTTTGTATTATCAACAAGCTGTCTTGGTAAAGCAACCACCTTTGGAGCAATAATATTTTGATTTTGTGATGGCATTATTAATTTACATAATTTTGGATATATTTCTAATGAGATATGGTTTTTTGCAGTAAAATATACACACTGCATTTGGCGAACAATAATACCTTTTTCTTTATCATATTGCTTCGCAAACCCAACTGCAATTTTATTCTGACTTTCTTTTTTATTTTTTTCTGCTATTGAATGATCCTTTACTTTTAAGTGACGATCAAGTAAATCTTTTTTGTAAATTGTGATTCCTTTAGCCATTTGGTTAATAAATTTTGCTTTTTCACACTAAGCACAAATCATAAAAGTTGTATCTTCAATTGTTCGATATTCTAGCCACTCATACGTTAATAGCCAACTTGGCTTTAGAGCACTAGCGGTTTTTTGCTTTTTTCTTGCTAAATTATCATCTTGATTTGGTTTATTTTTCCTTTTATTTGCGTTATTAACTTGATCATGTGTTTGTTTTTCTTTAGTATTTGCGGGTAAAAAATAGTTTTCCATTAGTAAATAATAAAAAGTTCAATGTGCAAAATATTCACACAAAATACGTTATTTTAAAATCCCCACGTACATAAATTTTATTTGTAAACCTTATTTTAATTTACATGTTAATCATATCTAATAGGTAAAAAACCTTACACTGATAAATTTTAATGAAATTTTTAAATAAAATTACCAAACCCATTTACAAAAATATAGAAACTTTTTTTCATATTATATTTAAGTAATGTAAAATATAAAAATAAATGGTATGTGCGCGATGTGCGCAGATGTGCGCAAATGTGCAGAAAATAAGCAATGATGTGCGGAAATGTGCAAAACTGTGCGGGATGTGCAGAAATGTGCGGAAAATAAGCAACGATGTGCAGAAATGTGCGGAAATGTGCAAAAATGTGCGGGATGTGTGGAAATGTGCGGAGGTGCATACAAAATTTTTGTGTGCGCTTCGCGCACACAAAAACTTTTGATCATATGCAGAGTTTTAGGAAATTTGTGCGCGCGCACACTCCGCACATTGAATTTCAAACACTGTATAACGCTTAGCAACTGTAGAATAACATTTTAATGTTTTAGCTATTTTTTTTACAATTATAGCTATATATATTAATAAGCAAATGTAATTAATAAATATCACTTGTAAAACAAACACATATGTTTAAAAAATCTGAAGTTAATTTTTATTATATTTTTGTAAAGNGCACAAGAATATTTCTTTCGGGAATAAAGTACCTGAGAAATTTCATAAGGAGATGTGGAAGTGAAAGATGAATTTTGAAATAAAGATTAATAATGGGAGAACACCAATGTATTATCTGGGGTTCATCTGTGTCATATGGGTTACGTCTGAGTTTGAATTTTGGATAAATGCTCGAAATTGGAAAATTTTTATTCTTCGATATTAAAGATTATAACGTATGGGTTACGTCAAATCTGGATACTTAGCTCAATAACGCGCGAATTGCTTTGGGGACGGGGAATGAAGATTGTAAAGACACCTACTATCAAGAAGCATTAAATGAATAAAATAGGATAAACCTGAAAACTGTCGTGCTTTTATTTCAATGCGGGGTATCTCTAATGGGTAAAAGATAGAGATAAGCTCAGTATAGGTCCACCAATTTGAGGAAAGATAAGTTGGTTTAGATGAGTTTCATGGATAGCAGTTGACTTTCGTATGAAAGGTTAGATACACCCGTTAAGAGACAAGTCAGCCAACGAAAGAAGAAAAGACAGATACGTTGTATTGTTACAGGTCCTAGGCTATATTTCAGATGTGGATCCTGGTGCAGAGACGATAAAATTATGCTGTGATAAAAAATGAATTATGTGCATGCTAAAACAAAATTATGTGATGTAATTTCTTTAAAAAAATTCGTATTATGTGATATTATTTAGTGAAATTTATGTAATTATTTGATTTTATGTATAAAAACATTCATATTATGCGATATTATTTAGTAAATCAATAAGAAATTTGTTAAAATCATTTATTATTTTAAGTCATAATGCAATAAATTTTTAGGTCATAATTCCATTAAAATATATCATACTTAATTTTTTAAGAGAATCCTGAGAGAGATTTTGCCGATCACTATCTAAAAGAGAGTTGTACATAGAAAAACTTCGTTCAACAGTACAACTTGATATCGGCAACCAAATGTAATCCAAAGCAATATTAGAAAGGATTGGCAATTGCGTTGCCTTATCTACCCAATATTGGTCTAATTCCATATTACCTAAAAATTCATTATCCAAGCCACAATAAACTCCCTATTCCCGTAATAATTCATCAGACGGATTATCAAATTCTTTAATAAAATTGTACTGCCGAATATTTTTTCGGAAAATATCTCCATTATGAACAAATTTAGGATCAAAGACTTGGCATGAATAAAAAAATTGCCGAGCTGGATGATTAGGAATATGTGCAGCAAATTTTTCATAAGCTGCTTCAAATGCTGCTTGAAAAATTGGATAAATTTCACTTGGATTAAATCGAAGCTGGGTGATTAAATTTTCCAGAAGAGGACCAAATTCATTTGAACTTCTATACATTTCAATATATGCAGTAAGTTGTTGAAGCTGTAATTCAACAAAAGGGAAAACAGGCTTCTTTAATTGCTGAAAAAAATCAAGATCTTGAACGAATTCTTTGGCATAAGAAGAAATGAAATTAACGTAAATTGTAATGAGTTCCAAGTCTCGAACATTTTGTAAACAAGAATTAATAGCTTCCAGAGTACGATGCCTTTTGTCATTGTTGAGTTCTTCTTTAAAAAAAGAAGGCCAGTAAACGATATGATCCTTTGCGTAAGATACCATCCAAACCAAAAATTCCAGCGTGTTTTGTTATATAAAGGAATTTTGCATAGTGAAGGTATTCCATACATTTTCAAATGGGATAAATATCGACCTCTTCGGGCAGGAAAATTAACAAAAACCTCTTTGACTTTATCCAAAAAGTCTTTCAAAATACGAAATTGAGGTAATGTTCTCCATGTATCCCTATAAAATTTTTACAAATCAGTTTTAAGAAAAATAATATCATTTTGAAAACAATTTGTGATTGTAAACTATTTTGAAATTTAAACTATACTTTTATTTTGAATTTAATTTTTTATAACTGCGTTATCATTTCATTATTAAACTAAAAATTTCATTATATTATTTCGTAACTATTACTACTAAATGTCAACCTATTAGATGTTAGTTTTGCACTTTTAAATGGCAATAACAAAAAAATATTATCCATCACCCTTTTCTTCTCATATTCACATGTAAGTTTTTTTATTCTATAATTATATAAGATCAATTTTTCTCCCCACCATCTATTATTTGACAACTATATGTTATTATTTAAAAACATACCCGATTAGATTTAAGATATGCGCACAACATGGTACATAAATTAACTGAGGCATCAGTGGTGACAGGACGTCACGATAGCATTTTTTCATGTACGCGGCTGAATCTGTAAGAAATAAACAAGGTAAATTAAAAGATATATTGAAGTGAGTAATAATTGTTGTAAGAACTTGTCCCATTGTAGTGTTATTAACACGCCCAAGAAAATCAACTGAAACTAATTTTGTTTCATTGCGATAACAAAAAAGGGTATTGACAACGCTCCGTGCACAATCATCAGTGGTTTCATCCATAATTATAGCCACCGGTTTTGAATCAAAAAATAATCTAAGACATTGGTAATGCTTATCAAAAACGTTTGGTAAATAAATTTATCTAAGAGTTGAAGCTTGAGGAATAGAACCTCCATTTTTAACGTATTTTTTTAAAAATGGAAGTAAAGAATTGACCTTTTCAAGAGGTATGTCTGCTATTGCAAAAGCTTCTATAAGGTCTTCAATAAGCCGTTTTTTTGAGTCAGCAGCTGCTTGAGCAGAAGAAAGAGTAAGCTGTTGTGTTTTATTCTGAGTGTCGTCTTGCTTTTTTACGTTTGATATGTGTTTCTGACTACCACAATGGCTATCTATAACAGATTTATGTTTCCAATCCACAGAAACATTGCAGTAATTACAAAAGAGAATATTATCATCAACATGAAAAATATTTCTGTATTCTTTACATCTAGTATCAACTGACATGGCTTTTCTTTTCCTTGACATTGTTGAAAAAGAAAAAGAGATATTCAGAGATAATCAGATAAATTGTGTATATTTTACTGCGGATTATGTGGTCTAATATAGGAAGATCTGAATTATGTGATTTTATGATGTGATAAACTTGTAATTATGTGATATCACATAATTTATGTGTTTAATGCAAAATTATGTGATCACACTAAATCATCGTCCCTGTCCTGGTATAGTGTGCTAGTTCACGATTTCATTACAATGTTCTGTTAAAAGAAGATAAAATAGAAGAAAATTTACACATTAATGAGCCGTATAATGAACATTATGTGCAGTATTTAATAATAGATGTAAAATCCGGAAAGAAGGACATTTGTTTAAAAAGGACATTTATTTAAAAGAAAAACATTTGTTTGAAAAGAAGGACATTTTGTATACTATAGATTAATTTACATAATATAGAATATATAGTAAGAAGGATTTATATGGATGATAAGAAAGATTGAAAATTCACAAACTTTAAAAGTTATGAAAATTTTGAAGTTAGTGGAACGTGAAAATTATGAATATTGATAATAGGAGAAATTTTATGGCGCAGTAAAAACCTCTCCAGTCTGAGGAGATCGTGGACTTAGAATAATTTTAAAAATTTTGTGACGCAGTAAATAAGTATATATAGATCTTCCCAGTATGAGGAGATTGTGAACTTAGAATAATTTTGAAAATTTTGTGGCGCAGTAGGTACCAGATTGATTTGGCATTTATAGAAATTCAGAGAATACAAATCATGTGGAAAGGAAGTTATGTGATAGAAATAAAAATGAAAAGCATAAAAGGTTTTACTGAGTGGTAAAATTAGTGAGCGTAGACGTAGATAAATTATGAGAGATAAAAATAGCGAAAAGTACAAAAAGGGAAAGGAGCTGTATTTATAGATTTTTGGGGTAATACAAAATAATGTCATAATTTTGTAAGAAGCTTAAAGAAAATGCAAAGAAAGGAAGAAAGATTAAAGAAACAATCTATTTTAAAGATTAAAAAAACAAAATAAATAAGAAAGATAAAAGAAAGAATGACATAATAACAAAGGAAGAATCTAGAAGTATAGGTCATATGACGAGTAAAATAAGTATATATAGACCTTCTCGGTCTGAGGAGATTGTGGACTTAAAATATTTTTATATATTAAATGAATGGTAAAATGTTGAAAATAAGGTTTAAATTGATTATAAGCGAAATAGAGATTAATGAAGAATATGTCAGAAGAAAAAGGAATGATGGGGAAAATATAATAGAAAAGGAATTTAATATAAATGAGAGTGAGGATGTTGTACTTTATGAAGGACTAAAAGATGATGAAAATATAATTGAAAGAATGGAAATAGCTTATGAACTAAATGAAAAAGAAAAGATATTCAAACAGAGATATGGGAAAAATATGACTATATGTTATGGATGTACAATGATGATAAATGTAGAAAAAGAGAGTGAAGAATTATTGTTAATGGGAAAAGAATTTAGGAGTTATTGTATAGATTGCGAAAAAGAAGGAATAGATATAATGGATAATGAATTAAATTATAAGAATGATGATGATAATATGGAAATGGATAATGAGGTATTACAAGAAGAAATTGATGGTAGTGGAAGTGAAATTAGTATTAGTGGAAAAAGTAGTAATGAAAGAAAAAGAAAAAGACCTGAAAAAGAAGTCAATAATACTGAAAGAAGTAACAGAAAAAAGAAAATAAGAATAGAAGATGAGGAATCATCAGAAGAAGAAGTATTAGAAAATGAAACAGAAGCATTTAGAAAGTTATTAGAAAATTTGAATATGCCGGTAGTAGAAGAACAATTAATAGAGAAAGAGAATGTTGGGGATACGACATTAGAAGGATTATTCATTAGAGCAGAAAAAGGAAGTCAAGAGCTAGTAAAATATTGGTTTGATGTGGGCGAAGAATTTAGAAATGAAATTAGGAAGATAAAAGGTAAAACCAGTAAGAAAGAGAAAATAATAAGAAGTGATATTTACAATAGAATGGAAAAGAATTTGAAAGGATGAACAAGAAAAGCGATTCAATCAAGATTAACAAGAGCAGAACACGTGTATGAGATATTTAGAGGAATAGGAGGAAAACAAAAGATAAATAGAATGAGAAATACATGTATGAATACGATAATAGGATTAAAGATTAAAGAAGGGGAGATTGATAAGTTAATAAAACAGGTAAATGAAATGGAAGGAAAAATATACAATGGAATTAAAGAATATTAATCAGAAAGAAGAAAATCACGATCAACAAGACAATGTAAGAAAATCAAAATTGATCGACTGAAGATCAGATTAATGATAATAGAAATAACAAAAGAAATGATTTGATTAAAAAAGCATTTAAAAATTGAAGTAGAAATGTGTAATGAACGAAGGATTAATTGATGAAAGGAACAGAATATTTAAAATATAAAAAGAATAAGATTTATACCAGTAACGAGAATTTATATATGGACAAATGGAAAATGCGAAGTATGATCATTTTGCAAAAAGATGAAATGAGAACAAAATAAAATGTCTGGACGGTACAAATAATGAGACAATAAGAAGATTAATTTACAAAGCGTGAATAATAATGAAAAGATGTTTATAAGATAAGAGAAAAATAAGTAGACGATTACTGTGAAATAAATTTATTAGAATACGAATGTACCATCGAGAATGAGAGGCTAATAATTGAATATGAGAACTATTGAAAAAATAATTAAAATTGCTAAAAGAAAACTTTATTTTTATAAAAGTATTAGAGTTATGATGATAAACAGAATCACACGTAGATTTCATATTTGACAAATTAATGATAGAATTAATACTTTATTAATTGGTATATATGATATGGAAATATGAGTAATACATAATAAAGTTGTGAAGAATACAAGAAGATAAAGAAAACTAGAAAGAAGAGATGTTAATAGAATGATGATCATCTTTGAAATTATTACAACGGGAAAATTAAGAAATCTGGAAAATTCTGGAATAACGCGGAATAATTTAAATTTAGAAGAAGCGATATGAAAATTTATTATGATATAGAATAACGATATTGTAAATGAGAAAGAAGATAAAATATATACATAAAGAAGACTATTCCGAAATAAGATGAATATAAAGATTTGAGGGAATGCAATAATTCTTAATGTCATCATCATGTGTTGAAGGAGGTCGAGTTCGTAAAAGTCTTTGAAATGGAGTATCGCATACCTAATAAAGTAATGGGAACATCGTACAGAACGAGGAGTGCACAACGATGAAGAAAATAATAATAAAGGGAAAGGGAAATGCGAGAAAGAAGAGAGTTTTAAAGGGTTGGCAAGAGTTAGTTATAGTTTGTTAATGATTGAAAATTTTACGTCCTTAACCTCTTGCGAGGCATCTAATCACCTATAACTAACTACTCGATACGAATATTGACTGTAAGCAGTATCATTGAAACTGATCTAAAACTTTAGCGCTGCTTACCTGTAGAATCTAAGAGTATATCCAGTTTAATTGAAAGAAAAGTTACGTGACAAAAGAGCGAAAAATAAAGAAAATATACCTATAGAATAAAAAAAAAATGATTTTTGGTTGAGTCAGATTATTACAAAGGAAAGAAGAGTATTTAAAAAGAAGTTTAATAATACTTACTATATAGGAATAGAAGAGAGGAGTAACAAGCCAAAAAGTATATACCGTGAGAATTATAACGAAGAGACTAAGAAAATTATTGAAAAGTGTAAAGTTAGATTACAGAATATTAAATAGAATAATAATCATTTTCTTTTGAAATAATAAATTATTCACCAATAAGTNAAAAGGGAAATGCGAGAAAGAAGAGAGTTTTAAAGGGTTGGCAAGAGTTAGTTATAGTTTGTTAATGATTGAAAATTTTACGCCCTTAACCCCTTACGAGGCATCTAATCGCCTATAACTAACTACTCGATACGAATATTGACTGTAAGTAGTATCATTAAAACTGATCTAAAACTTTAGCGCTGCTTACCTGTAGAATCTAAAAGCATATTCAGTTTAATTGAAAGAAAAGTCACGTGACAAGAGAGTGAAAAATAAAGAAAATATACCTATAGAATAGAAAATAATTTTTGGTTGAGTTGGATTATTATAAAGAAAAGAAGAGTATTTAAAAGAAAAGAAAAGAGAAAGGAGTTTAATAATACTTACTATATAGGAATAGAAGAGAGGAATAACAAGCTAAAAAGTATATACCATGAGAATTATAACGAAGATACTAAGAAAATTATTGAAAAGTGTAAAGTTAGATTAAAGAATATTAAATAGAATAATAATCATTTTCTTTTGAAATAATAAATTACTCACCAATAAGTCGAGAAATATAGTGAAACAGAAAGTTACGAGAGACATTATGAAATTGTTGAAAGAATAATAAAGCGTAAAATTAAAAAAAAAAGTAAAAAGAAAAGTAGAAAATTTTATGAGAAAATATTAATAAGAATTGCGAAGTAATAGGAAAGAATTAGAAAACAACCACGAGGAACACTTACAAAATTGAATTGATCTACAATTAGTAAAATAATGGTGTAATCAAATGGATGAGATGATCAACAGATTAGATGATCGACAAGTCAGCTGATTAATTAAAAGAGTGATTTTGTTGGACAGAGAGATATGGGACGAAAAACCTAAAATAAATAGAGAGTACGTTCAAGTCAGAAGGAGACATCTGTTTCGCATTCCATTTCGGCATAACCGAGATATTTCTTTAAACCTTCGGACTTCTGACAATCTTATAAGCAGTATCATTAAAACTGTAGCGGGACGTTCTCAGGCACTGAGCCAAACATATCTTATTATACTTTAGGGACTATTAAAGTATACATGTATAATGTGCAGAGGTTTGGACTCTCCAAGTCCATCATAGAACCAGCCGTCTTTAGCGCTGCTTACCTAAGGAAAATTAAAATCACAGCGTAAGGAGTTGAGATAAAATAGTATAGGAAAAATGGAGTTAAAAAAAAAAAAGGAAAAGAAATTAATAATAATAATGATAAAAATGAAAATAATGTGAAAAGAAAAAGGAGTATGAATAAGTAGAATTTTATGGATATTTAAATGAAAGATAATACGCGTAAACACGTAAAATGCGTAAAAATGAATTATTTTGAGAACAAAGAATTTATTAAGATAAATGATAAAATTAAGAGATCAGACATGAGTATTACGATAGAAAAATTATGAAGAAAAATTGCGCAATATTAAGAAAATATAATTGGATGATAATAAAAATTAATTAGGAATAATAATATAAAATGCATGGTGACATGTGGAAAATTTCTGGAGTAAGAAGAATTATTTTAAAACAAGGGGAAAATATTTTAAATAGTAAAACGTGATAAATTAAGGGGCTAAAATAACAAATTAAGTTAATGGAATCTAAATATAGTGATCTACTGAAATTAGAGATTTATTTTTAGAAATGTTAATGAAAATGATTAACCTAAATTAGTCGCTAAATTTAAGATGAATAAAATATTGACAAGCCTAAAAGATAAGAGAATAATGGTAGAAAATCAAACAAATAAATTGAAAGAAGACATAGGATATTTTTATGAAACATTAGAAGAAGAAGGCTAAATGAATATGAGAATATAACGATTAAATTAATGATAGGAAATGGAAAATTAATATATATAATATATAATTACAAATTATCAGGATATTTTAGAATGGATGCAACACTTTAATCTTTACAACACCTTAACCTTTACAACATTTTAAATGGAGGAAGAGGGGTTTTATTCGCGTGTAGAACAAAGAAGAATGATTCAACAAAGTTAAAACCAGGATATTTAATATATGGAAGAGAAATGAAGACATTATTAAATTTAGAAGATGAAAAGTTACAATAACACAAAGAATTAACAGTCTAATTGAGGAATTACCAAACATTAGGAATCAGGCTAAAGAAGATATCGGAAAAATCTCAAGAAAAACAAAAGTTATATCACGATAAGAAGAATAAAATAAAGAAGAAATTTCAGATAGGAGATAAAGTACTATATTATAATGCAGCGAAAGAGAAACAATGGTCTGGAAAATTTGAAGAAAAATGGAAAGGACCTTATTATATACACGAAACGATTTCTAAAGGATCATATAAAATAAAGACTATAGAAGGAAAGATATTGAGGACACCAGTAAATGGAGAATTGTTAAAAGAATATATTGATAGATCAAATTTTGAAGTTTTAATTAGAATTTGAGAGGACTCAAATTTTAATGTGGGAGGAAAGCTGTAACCAAAAATATGGAATAGATTACACAGAAATTAATGTTAGATAGTGATAATTAGTTAACTGAAAATATAATACGGATAAATAATTAGCCGATGGGTAAATAATTAACCAATAAATAATATTTATAGTTTAGTTTAGTTACGAGAAAGTCATATGATAATACATCTTTTATTTCTTATTATTTTCTTAGAATTTTAATAGAGAAAGAATAGTAGATAGTAGAAATAATTTTCTTAACATGTATAAATACAAGTGGGATTCATTAGGAATTCTGCAATCAATTTTTGGCTCAAATAAAATAATGTTAAAATATTAATTATTAAAAGTTATTCAAATATGAATATGCTCATTGTACGCTTGAGAATTAATTCGTGATCTGTCTTCAAACCAGTGAAATCTACTAATACATTTTGGGGAATTATTTTGCAAATTAATTTAGTGGGAAATTCAGATAAGAGCAATAGATATAGCACGCAGGAAATGTGAAATGAACTTACAAATTATTAGAGAAAAGTAGTTTAGAAGAACTGCAAAATTACTAGATACACCACTCAATATAAGCAAAATATAGTACGACCTGTATTTAATAGAAATAAATAATTTTAATACTTTTTTTTTTGTTTTTTCTTATTTATAACCTTAAATAAATTATTTACCAGCAAATAAATAACATTTTAATAAAAAAATATCAATTTTGTGATTGTCACACCTCTTGTATTGAATAATTATGGCATTTTTAAAGGCCGGAATCCAGCG